AGGCACAACACACACAAAGCTCTCCTTCTTGGCTACAACAATAATCTTGATGATTGAATCATCCCCCACTTTCCTTCATAACCCGCGGCTGCTAGGGCTACTAGAGCATCTACTGTTGTGGAAAACAATTATAACAAGAGTTAGGGTTTTTTGTTATCCTTATATACATGTGTATCTAACCAAAAGGCTCTAATTTACTATCTCTTTATATTATTTTAATTTCTATCTCCATTAAAATATAAATATTATTAGATCAAAATATGCTTACTAATTTGGCACTTAAATTTATTTATTTATTTATTTATTTTTAAATAATAAATCTTGCCTCTAAATTAAAGACTTTCACCATAAATTTATTTTAGGTTTAAAAATTAATTAAAAAACCTTCCAAATATTTAATTTGCACTTTAGGATTCACCACCAAAATATTTTTGAGATTGTAATATTATTATTATTTAATTATTTACTTGATTTGTATATTTGGGTTCTTACAGCTCTAGGGGTCTCAAGGATGTAATCTTTACCACCACCTTCTACTACTTCTACATCTTCATTAGGGAGCTCTTCATGACCACTACTATCACCTCCTTCAGTGCTAGAAGTCACTATTCTTTGAGTTTTTGGCCAATGAAGAAACGAACCAATAAGTACATCATCACCATCATCAAAGTCTGAAGAAAGCCCCATAATATTGGATGGGCCACCTGAACCTGAGGGAGGAATAGCAGAGACATTGTCCCTCTCTGAGATGAACATGCCGTAGACAAAGAAAAATGCACTTATGCAACTAAAGTCAAAGGAATACCAAGTGAAGAAAAATTACTCTAAGTGTAACAATACCTTGCGAAGTCTCTTCCTAGATGGCAAGGTGTGAACCTTAGAAGGTGCAACAGCCACCGCTACGTGAACCACTCTTAAACAGGAACTAGTTATATGGGGAAATTGAACTTGCATTGATTAAACTGCCAAGGCTCTTTATTGGTAAGGTTCACTTGAAACCTGACATTATGTATGCACAGAAAACACATGTTCTCCACATGCGTAGGGGGAAAATGTAGAGGGGAAGAAATCCTAAGTATTGATCTAACCTCTGAGGTCACCTTAATTAGAGAAAAAATTATGATTAAAAGAATTAGGGCAAAACCCTAAGGAAAATGGCCTAATCAGAAGACCAAACTAGGTCCAACCCGCTGGATCCAAATAGACCCTTAGTGACAAAGTACCTAAGGGAACCTGCAAAAGCAGTACTTCCTGCGGTCTAGTATCTAAGGAAACCCACCTCAGTGCTGGCATCCTACTAGAAGATTTTTGCAGTGCCACCTTTAAGACAGTACTTAAAGTACACTTGCTGAGGGAAGAGTAGCCGAAGTGACTACAGCCACCGTAACTACCTTTTGAGGCAAAGCTCCCCAAGGTAATAATAGCCTTCAAGGGAAGCCTCCTCTCTACAAACAGAGACTAATGCTTGGCACAGATAGCAAGCCCCAAAACATTACTACTTTCGTGTTGATAGGAGGACTCGAAGCTCTAACTCAGCGCAGATAGCATGCCTTACAACTCACTAGCTTGGTATTGATAGCAGGCCCCAAAGCTTACTAGTTAGAATTGATAATAGGCCCCCTAGATACTAGTATACTGCGGCGATCCCGCAAAGATGAGAGTAAGGCAGCCTAAAAGCAAGGGACTCCTTTTCCATTACCCAGGTCATGAACCTGCCTTGGTTGTACTGGTAGGACCAAAGAAGCCCCCTTGGGCTTGGTACCAAGGCACAGCATGGCTGATTACAGGCTTAACTATGGCCTTCACCCTAAAAAACTAGGGAGTTTTTGGTTAGGTGGCTAAGGGTAGAGAAGTCACTAAGGTAGACACAAGTATGGCTGATAGCTGGTTATGAGTCCTAAGAATGCATATCGTGGGAAACCGAACTGAGAAGGCGGGTGTCGTAGTGAGAACCATCGCAGAGTGCCACTAAAGTAGATACACCTCTTGCGGTCCGTACCAAAAGGACACTAGCTGAGGTTCACACTAAAAAGGTATTCGCTAAGGTTTTGTGCCAAAGAGATAGTATAGTGGTGCAGAGGGACACGTGTCTACCAAAGCCTGGTGGTTTAGGAAATTGAATATTCCATGTGTCCTCTTGGACACATGTCATCACCCCGTTTGGCCACTTGGTACTCTTAGTAGTACCAAGGAAAAGCCTATAAATAGACTCATTTTTCTAAGGTTTGAGAACTCAAGAAGAGAACCAAGAGGAGAGCACTCTTAAGAGAACTCCTGAGGAGAACTTTGAGGGATTTGAAGAGATACTACACTGCTACATTCTTCTCTTGAACCGCTTGCTCTTTCCTTACCTGGCTACTCACTCTTCAACCTTCCCTGATTATTGACCCATTAACATAGCTTTGTTTCTCTAAGTGATATTATTATTACTGTTCATTTTGGACCCCTTAGAGTATGTGCTAGTGTCACCCTTGGCAGAGATGGAGGTAAAGAGTGGTGTTGGTGGTGAAGATAATGGTAATGTGAAGTGATGGTAGTGGAGTAGTGGTAATATACTAATTTAAATGAATACCTATGTTTAATTAATCCATCTAAACTCAATTTTAAATAGGCTTGTAAGATGCAATTTATATAAATTCATTTGTGAACAAATTTAAATAAATTTTAAATGAGTGAAATTACATGACTTCATAGTTTCTAGTTAAATTAAAAGTAGTGCCTTCTATGATTACAAGACAAAATGTTCTAAAATTGCGGAGCTCAGAGAGCATCTCCAATGGATTGCCATTGGAGCTGCCATTGTTATAATATAGCTACTGTGTTAAAACGGAGGATATCAGGTGGTTCACTTCCTCGTCTCGGACGAGTTCAAACGAGCTGATTCATTTCGGACTCAGCAACTCAGTTGCACAGATTGTCCTAGCTTGGCACCAGTAAGCACCGTTAGGAGAGAAGGTGAGGTCGAGGCAGCCGAACGGCAGGTATTACGCCACCAGGAGCGGCAGCCCATTGGCAAAGACGTGGTCGTGAGTTTTGAGAATGAGTTGGACGGAGGAGCTGGCCACTCGGCCAAGTTGGAGGTGGATTATGGGGCCGAGTTTGTGGGCGAGTTGAGCTAAAGAGTGGTGAGGCTTGTCAGTGAGGAGGTGGAGGTGGCCTATTATCAGAAGTCAAGGTGGTGACGGTGGCAGTACCGCTGCCAAAAGTGGTGGAGATGGTGGTTGTCGACAGAAGAAGTAAAAGGCTAAGGTGGCTAATGATAGGAGTATTGTAGAGAGGACTTGAAGGGTAAAATTGTCCATTTATTTTTGTTTGTTTAAGGGCTCATCAAATAAAAAGTGTGGAGAGCTTGAAGAAAGTGAAGACTAGAAATTCAGGTGGACGGTCATATATAGATATATTTATACATAATTTAACAGTCTGACTGGAAACCTTGAAAACAAAAATAATAAATAAATAAATAAAACAAATAAAAAACTATTATTTAAGTTTAGGGAGAAGAAGGAAGGAAAAAATAAGTCCTGGTGATGGGTGTTTTGACCATCAATGAATAGATAAGTTGTATGCTTTTAATTGATTCATATATATGTGATTAATTTTATGTGTTAATGTATTAATAGACTTCAATTGTATTGATCAAATACCCTTTGTATGTTCGCCCATAAAAGTATACAGTTTATATTTAAGGATAGTTACCAATAAGTTCTATTGGCTAGACTTATTTACTGATATTTTTTTTTTTTTAAAAAAAAAAATTGACTTATTTGTCTCTCGTTTTGATAACAAGAAAATTTTGAAATTTTTTAAATTGTAATTTGTGTTTGTGGAATGATTATTTCATATTAATAATGATACTGAGAAATTTATCATATTAACTTTTCTTTGACAGTTTTGATTTATTTGTATTAGTTTGTATTAAAATATGATATGAGATAGGTAAATAGTTGAATTATATATTTCAAATATATATATATATATATAAATATGATCCACGTGAAAGGTTTGTGACTGTCCCTTTATTTAATGAAGAAACATACTTTGGGCAATGTCTAAGTTAAAGAATAATTTTTATATACGGATAGGTATATATCATGTAATACCTTTTATTATTGTTTTTGGTTTTGTCCACTATATTTGTGATAAGTATTTTTTAAAAGGGTTCTGTTTAAGTGTGCAACCCCCTTAAGGTTGCACACCATATGCAACCCAATTGTTAGCCGTTAGATTACAATAATTGATCAAGACCATTGAATTGTTTAATTGTGAAAAAGTTAAAACCGGGGCAACCGGTTAATGCTTGTATTTGCATGATTACATCCCATTCACTCTCTGTATTTCGTCCTCATCTCTCTCTGTTCTCCTCTCTGTGTAAGGTTGGGTCAGTGTAACAGTTGATTTCCATTAACAGCGAGAAGCCCCTGCCAAGTTCGTTCCATTGACGAAGCTCTGTAGGGAACAGTATAACGGGCGATTTCCAACAACAACGTAACTACAAGCCTGTGTTGGTTCCATTGCTGAAGTGAAACCCTTCTCTCCAACTAGATATGAGGTATGGAGCTGTCTCCCTCTCTCTGTCTCCCTCTCTCTCTCTCTGGCCTCTTCACTTCAGCTATTTTCCGTCAACTAAACCCCCATCCTAACTTCAACCGCTCTACGCTTCGTTCAAACGGAAACCCCTCCATTGGCAACTAACCTTTCTCTTTCTCAAGCGAGTGTTTGTGTTTGCACAAACAGGTAAACCGTGTAAAAATGTCATGTTTGTGTTTGTGTTAACATTTTTCGGTTATCAAGTAATTGTTTGTACTAATGTCATGTGCAGTATGGCCCGAGCGAAAGTTAAAAGGGAAGGTGATGATTATGACATTCCAAATGAAGCAAATGACATTCGTTTGATGAATGAAAGTCGGGTGGAACCTTATCATGGTTGCGAAGCTGGTCCGAGCAATGAAGAAGCAACCAACATGAATGTTGAAGATGGCGGAGTAGATGTGAAAAAATAAATGGTTGACGATGCTCATGGCAATGACATGGTTGGTGATGTTGAACGTGCTATTTTGGAACAGAAATTTGATTCGATCGAAAATGGAGAAGCTTTCTACAATGCGTATGCTAAAGCGAAAGGATTTAGTATACGAAAATCCAGATTTAACACAAATAAAGAGGGAAAGGTCGTTAGTAGGCTATGGTTGTGTTCAAGGGAAGGTCAGAGATTACCAATATACTTGGACCGTGTTGCTGAGAAGAGTAGAGCTCCCAAGGCACTAACAAGAGTAAGTTGCAAAGCCCAATTTTGCATACGGTACGATGCAGATGCTGGTGAAGGGGAAAAGTATGTTGTGACTCACTTCGTCACAGACCACAACCATGAATTGGCGGAACAACACTGTGTGATGTATCTGAGGTCACATCGCAGTTTAAACAGTGCTAACAAAGCTCAAGCAATGGCTATGCGCAACGTTGGTGTGAAGACTAGCCAAATCATGGACTATATGGTAAATCAATCTGGGTCTTATGAGAATGTTGGTTTCGTCCGTACGGATCTGCACAACCATATTCAAGCCGAACGTAGAGCAGAAGTTGAGGATGGTGATGCGCAGGGTGCGTTGGTTTACCTATGTGCAAAACTTGATGTTGATGCACGTTTCTTTTACAAGTATGATGTGTGTAACGATAACAAGTTACAAAATCTGTTCTGGGCAGATTCGAAATTGCGGGCCAACTACGCAAAGTTTGGTGATGTGTTGATATTTGACTCAACTTACAAAACCAATGCATACAAGAAGCCTTTTGTCATGTTGGCTAGTGTGACTAGCCACTTTAGGACCACGATATTTGCATGTGTTTTGCTAGCTAATGAGACAATTGAGACATACACATGGGTTTTGGAAACATTTATGGAGGCGATGGGCAATAAAGCACCTGTGTCTGTACTGACAGATGGGGATAAGGCGATGCGAGAGGCAATCAGAAGAGTATTTCCAGACGCAAGACATCGATTATGTAATTGGCATCTTGGGAAAAATGTTGTTTCAAATGTTCACATTAGTGGCTTTGCACATGCTTTCAAGCAGTGCATGGACATGGAAACGGATGAGACAAAGTTTGAGCATGGCTGGACGACAATGGTCGAAAAATTTGGACTTCAAACCAACAATTGGGTGTTGGAGACATATGAGAAGCATCATATATGGGCCAAGGCATATATGCGTGGACATTTCTTTGCTGGGATGAAGAGCACTCAGCGCTCGGAGTGTATGAATGCTTATTTCAATCCCTTCCTCCAACACAAATTTAAGCTATATGAATTTGTTAGGCACTATGATCGGGCTCTTGCAAGGATAAGGTATAACGAGGCTGGAGATGATGCTGAAACAAATAACACTTTTTCAGTATTGATTACTCCATTGCGAGATATAGAGAGACATGGAGCTGAGCTATTCACCCGAAATATATTTAGAATGTTCCGTGATGAAATCTTAGAAGAGGGGAAGTTGAATGTCAAGGACGTGTTCCCTTTGCCGAATGGTCAGAAATGCTACTATATTCATAAGTACAAAGTAAAGGACAGATCATGGATAGTAACACACAGTCCAGTGGATGCTACAATGAGATGTTCTTGCATGAAGTTTGAGTCGTTGGGGCTACCTTGCTGTCACATGATATGTGTTATGAAAGCCGAAAATTTAACGCAAATTCCCCCAACTTGTGTGCTGCATAGATAGACAAGGGCTGCAAGCAAGGATGGCCAGCAATGGCCTCAACCCTCAATTGATAGCACTACAACACAGACGGCCCGGTATGGGATATTGAGTTCTTCCTACAACGAAATGTGTTTCTATGCCTCGCAATCAACGGAAGGTTTCAAAGAGGCTAAGGATGCATGTCTTCCGATGACGAGCTGGATGAAGGAGTTATATGAGAGGAATCTGAACGATGGGAATGGAGACAAAGGGAAACATTCATTCCCTCGACAATTTGGAGTAGAAGATCCTGATGTTGTGAAGACAAAAGGGAACCCAGGATGGGCCTCGTCTAACTGTTGCAGACTAAGAAAATGTGGGAATTGCAAATGCATTGGGCACACAAAGCGAACGTTTCCTAAGGTTCGGTTTAGCCGAACAGTGGGTACTAACTCAGATGCAGATACACCCCACATAACTCACCATGAGTACAATGCGGAGTCATTGCCCGTTCGCTGCAAAACCGGGTTGGTGGATCCAAGTACATCGGATATTAAGCAACGGTGACTATTTTTTTATGCTTCTCCTGATTCCAAGTAGCCTGCGAGCCAATACGGTAGTGTTGAAGCAGCAGTGTGCAAAAATGATTCGACCATAATTGATGAGGTGAATCAGGTAATTCTATAATTTGTATGATTTACTTATTCCCTTAATTTATTAGGTAGACAGTACTAGCTATTGAAAACACATGGAAATAATGTATGTAGTTTTCATTTTGCACGGATTGCTGTACGTAACATGTAAATCATTGGTTACGTACAATGCCAGGAAATGGCACAACGTTACCTATGTACAAGGCCACGAGTTGTAAATTTCCCATATTGTTTAGAGTGATGTTGTCATTTGTGTTTGCAGTGACTTGTCATTTTGAAAACTAATTGAAGGTGAGATATATATGGGTTGTCTATATTGTTTTGGGTGGGAAATTAGCTTATGTTTGTATTCCAAGATTCCTATTGTGGGTTGCTTGTTTGTGTTCCATATTTGGTTGGATCTAACTGAAGGGTTTTTTGCGATGTGGTTTATCAACTAACGATGTGTTTGGCATCGTATTGATTTGGTATGACTTGTTTCGGTAAATTAGTATTATATTTCGAGTAAAATACGAATTTTGTCCATGTGGGTTTGCAAAATTACATACCAGTACATGCATTTTGTATATAATCCAAGTCGCCGTTAATTTTGGGTGTTACTTGGAGAAAGTAACCCAACGAACTCGTTACTTTATCTCCATGCCGATTGCTATATGAATTACGAGTTACGAACAGGAGTTGTGAAATTATTTCATGTTAACTATGAAAGTATGGGTTTATTATTAGTAAAATTATGGTGGGCCTATATCGACAGCAACGAAGCAGTAATTTAAAGTTGACAAGTTGAAGAACAAAATCAAGCAATTGTGGTATTGGTTCGAATGCCTGAAAAGGATGAAGACTTCTTTCGATGAACTGATGGTAACAAAGTAGAAAGTAACAAAGTGGAAAATACAAAGTAAGTTGTTGTGTTGTTGTGTTGTTTGTAACAAAGTAGAAAGTAGAAGGGAAAAAACTACTCAGAAGTTGCAATGTAGAAAGTAAGTTGTGTTGTTGTTCATGTCCTCTCTCTGCAAACATTTTGCCCTTTATAGCTATTATTTCCCATGACCCCATGATCTACCGATTCTGCAACTGCTTCTGTGCAACTTCTGTAACTGCATGGTCATTTCCGTGTCTTCAAACCACATAAAACCTTCACTTGTACCTGTCAAAGTGCATATAATTGAAGTTACCACCTGTGCCCAAGTCCTTTTAGCCTTTCCTCGACAGATACAGACTCTCAATTCGTTCATGTTTCCTCTTGGAGGCTGGCCACTAAATCCATGAGCACTGTCAGTAACTGCTCCAGCCTGTAAGTCAGGTGGCATGCAAGATTCAATGTTAGTTGAATGGAGCAGCTGTTGGGAGAATGTGGGAAAAATAGGTGCAAAGAGGAATTTTTAATCTAATATCCAATAATAATTTAGCTGAAAATATGAGTGAATTTTTTTTTAAAAAAAAGTAGTTTCGGTTTTTTTTATTACAAACACGAGATGTATATTTTGTTTTTGATGTAAATAAGTTGTGCATTTTCGTTACGTAAAATGTAGGACAACAATTGTGTTTAACTCATTACAATACAGAAAAAGGTTATTTCAAACATAATTTCAAGTTTACGAACATTGAATATATTTTGATTAAATTACAGGGGAAATTAATATTTGGCAGAGTCTGATGATTCAAAGTCAGGGCAGTAACAATGAGTGGCCAAGTGCTGTGGTTCAGTGGCCCAGTTTGCAAGGATTGTGGTTATGTTTAGTGGACAATATTCTGCCAATTTTTTCTCATAATGATGAGGGACATGCCCCACAATGGTGAAAAGCAAGGTTGACAAGGAAGAGTCAATATTTGGCAAAGTGGACTTGAAAATTCGAAGTCAGAGGGCAGTTACAGTGGCAGTTATGGTGTAGATGTGTGGGATCATGCAATGATGGGCCACAAAACAGTATACAGATATCGAAACGAACGATCTCCCTTCTAGGCTTTCCAAGTATACTAAACCTCCACTTCTATCTGTCGATCTCCTTTTTCTTGTGTTTATTTCATGGCCACCAACTGTTTGAAACTTCTATCGACAGAGCAAGGCTCCTGCTTTGTCTCATGCTTCCTCCTGAAAGTGTGCCCACTAACTCATAATGATGAGGGACATGCCCCCACAATGGTGAAAAGGAAGGTCGACAGGAAAAAGTCAATATTTGGCGGAGAGGACTTGAAGATTCGAAGTTAGGGGCAGTTACAGTGGCAGTTATGGTGTAGACGTGTGGGATCATGCAATGATGGGCCACAAAAACAGTATATGGATATCGAAACCAACGATCTCCCTTATGAGCTTTCCAAGTATACTAAACCTCCACTTCTATCTGTCGATCTCCCTTTTCTTGTGTTTATTTCATGGCCAGAAGCTGTTTTAAACTTTTGTCGACAAAGCAAGGCTCCCGCTTTGTCTCATGCTTCCTCCTAAAAATGTGCCCACTAACTCCATGACTGGTGCTAAAAACTTCCCCCATCACTTCTAGGTGACCCACATGTAGAGAGCCCACTTTGAAGTGGTGGACATTCCTTCAGACTTGGCCACGTGTCCTCGATTAAGTGGACCATCTGTCGATAGAGACTGGCAAAACTTGGTGCAAAGAATGGCCCCCTTGTTCAAGTTAAATATCATATGAATTAACCTTGCGGAAGTGATTGGGACCCCCTCCAATCACCACCTGCACCCCCCTTTCCCACACACACACACACGTGGGGGCTGGTGATTGGAGGAGAAAGAAAAAAGAAAGAATTTTTTTTAAAAAAGCTGGCCAATCAGAGAGAGAGGGGTCATGGGGGTGCCCCCTTGTGGGGCTCCAAGTCATATGATATTTAACTTCAACAAGGGGGCCATTGTTTGGGCCCAATAGCAAATTTATTAGTGCGGGCCCCATCATAAGCTATAAAAGACCCACCCTTTCAACTTCAAACCACTTCATTTCCCTCTGATTCGAACTCCCCAGACTGTACTCCTTCTTCTCAAGCATTGCCGTTCAAAAGCCGAGCACCACAAAACCCTAAGCCATGGCGCCAAAAAAATCTCAACCATCACCATCTGAGGAGAACAATGAAGACCTACTCCGCTTCCCAGACCCTATCAGAGCACGTATCGGTCCTCTAAAATTTGGTGCAACCCTATTGCCCAGCACAAGCTCTGTCGCTAAGGCTACTCTAGGCCCTACTTTCGCGTCTTACTTCCCAGACGAGCTAGCTCCATATTATCCCCTTGGTAATGGTGAGAACCTTCTTCTCAACCAACCTGGACTTAAGTGGACTAACTGGAATGTCAGCAAAAACCCACTCAGATCATGGAGGTCACCAGACTCTGTTTGGCGAAGCTGGATCAGGAGAATTGAAGGTCACGACAGTGAAGTATGGAAGCACCAGGGCATTAGTGAAGCAATTAGACTGTCGACTAAAAATTATGACATGGACAAAGGGCTGATTGCTGCTGCTGCATGCTTTTGGTCGCAATCTTGTAACTCCCTACTCCTCAATTTTGGTATGATTTCCCCTACCATCTTAGATGTAGCTCACCTGACTGGTCTCCCAATCTTGGGCAATCCAATTCATGCTCTCCTTGAGCCTCCAAAAGTGAGCTTTACTTTAAACACTGACATGTGCTATACAGATTTCGCCCAAAATACAAAGGCAAGCCTGGTTCCCCTATCCACGACAAAGAAATAACTGCTTTTTACATACTTTGGCTTTATGAGTTTCTTTTTTGTGTCCCTGGGTACAAGATCACGAAAGAGTACCTCCCCCTTGCCTTGTGTATGCAACATGGCCAACTTATGGCTTTAACCCCTTATCTTTTTGCCACCCTTTACAAGGCCCTATTTTCCTTTGTCCACAAGAAGATTTCTGGCAACTGTGGTGGCCTCTTCTAGCTCTTCCAGGCCTGGTTGTATGCCTATTTCCCTAACGCACAACCCCCACCAGCTAACACCTTGAAACTTGTTTTCTACTCCTATGCTAAGCAACTGCTCACTTATAACAGCCAACCCATCCACACTTTCAAAAATCATCTTACCATGTTTTACAACCTTCCTTCGAAGAGACCTTCCAACCTGTACATGCCATTTCAAAACTTTGAATTCTCCTCCAGCAGACTTCGCTTCCTCTTCGTAGACCCTTCTGATTTACACAATGAGCAAGTCCAAGAACAAAATGAGACTTGAAGACACATTCTCACCTCTAGACATGTGTTGGTTGGCTGTTCCATATCCTCTGCCAAGATGTCCAACTGCAGTTTTGAGACATACTGTCCCAATCAATGGTCCAGGCAATTAGGTCTTTCCCAAGGTATCCCTTATCCTTATTTCCACCCAACCATCCATGAGGAGATTGGCTCCAGAATCTTCTTCAAAGATCCTACGCAAGCTGACTCCATTTTGACAAAGAACACCAAACTTTTCCAAGATTTTGGCCCCTTCTTCTTCAAACCTGCTGCGGACTGCTCGACTGCTTTTGACCATTGGTGGGGACTTATGTCTGCCATTATTTTCTGCAAGCCACTTGAAACCTGCCTTCACGACACTTGTATTCATAATCAGGGCCCCATATCCTTGCGTTCCAAGCTTAAGGCTGCAGGTATTCTTCCTTCATATACTTCATATCCCTGACTGTGTCATGCAAATTTTATTTTTTTTCTCTACAACACTAACTTGTTTAACCTTTGACAGCCAAAATTGGGCATGTTGCTGAACCATTGGTTAGGGACCAACATAAAGGCAAGGCTCCAATGGATGTAACTACTCAGACAAACACCCTCTCAATTTCGAAATTAATGGCAGACTCTTTCGCAACCGCACAGACACAAGCACAGAGAGGAACTACCACCCCTACCCCTGCCGAGACAGAGGTCACGGCGAAGAAGAGAGAAGAGCAATCCACTGCTCCTGC